AAAAAAAACAAATAGAATGGTACTATTTTGGAGATGAATTGAGCAACACAGTGAGCATGAATACATCTAACAAATAAAAGGTATTAGTGTTTCGGAGTTATTTTTATGTGTAGCAGGGCTGTGTACTGGGTTAAAACCGGGGGTTAAGAAAACAGAAACCGTCTATTTCTTCATGTGAGGGCAAAGAGATGTTTATAGTTAAGGGTTTTCAAGGACAAGAAACACTGGGGAAATATGACCTCTCAGTGTTCACAATCACACTTTATAAAATCTAAGCCTTTTCTCATCAGCTGGGTTTGACTGGAAAAAAATTGCCAATAACAGCTTCAGGAGACACATGTTGTAAAATACAGCATCTTAGATTTCATTTCAAACTGTATACTGTATGTAGCTACTATGTTCTGTTTCAGACTGACAAAGCGAATATGACACAGTGCTAAGATACATCAGTGCTTTTATAGACAGCTGTTATTAGCTGTAAGAGATTATACAAGGCAGATAAGAGAGCAAACACAAATCTCAGCAACAACTGTTATGCACATTCACTCACAGCTACAGCCTTCTGCCCTCAAAGGAAACCCAGTTTTGAGGGATGTTTCAGACCATTTGAAAATATTTAATACAATCTTCTGTTTGATAAATTTAAAAATGTGATGCTCTTCTTTGAACAAAATTACTGTGAGTCTTTGTTTCTGATACTGATGAGGTTTCTGACTCACTTCATCTTGGTCTTAAATAGTCTTGCTCAGCAAAATCCTCCTAATGTTGTTGCCCATGCATGTTGCCACTTGAAACGGTTGACAAAAACATCAGAAATGAGGTTGTAAAACCCTTTCCTTTCAAGAAGACGAGCCTATGCCTTCTCTGAAACCACCTTCAAGACTTGGGCTCCTTTTGAGGGAAAAACTGAAAGAAACTGCGGACCAGGAGACTAACTGATCCAAAATCATCTTCACAAAGGAGGTTTGCCATACACATGCCTTTAAAAAACAACTTTCAGCTTATGGTAGAATCCAAAATACGTGGGATAAATTAGTGGTATAAATACAGTATGTACACATTTTTACATTGCATTTCATCGGCATTGCCAGTGAAAAAGGCTCTTCGGCAGGCCTGTTCCTCAGTTCCCAAGGAGGAAACCAAGCAGGTCACAGTTATGCAGTGTGGGCCGGTTTGGCACTTGACCGACAGGGGTCTGTTCGTCAGTTTGTTGGCCACAGTTTTGTAAAGCTAATCCTGATCTGGGGAAACAAAACCTCCTCTGGGGCCACGAGGTTCAGTTCCCATCCACAGGTTTCCAAGTGGTTTGCTCCCTTGATTTTGTCCTCTGAGGCTCAAAGTAAAACAGTCGCAAGAGTTGATGCCACATGTTCTTCATATGCTTGAGGGAGCTACAGAGCACCTGTCCATGTCAGGGATACCATGAACAGCTAGACTTCAGTTCAAAGTTCAAAGTGGCATCGGTTCCATTGCTTTAATTCCTCGAAACTGTGGCATGCTGATAGTCCAATGCTCCAGCAGGGGGCAGTAGGTAATATGTTTGTTTTTTTTTAGGGGAGGGGTTTGAATCACCAGTTTCTGCTTTTTCCACCCTGTTACCTTCAGGTTGTTCTTGGTTTAAAAACCCAATCACAGCTGGGATTCACCCGGTATAAGTCCAGGAGGTAAGTGTCTGGGTCCAAACATCGCTCACCTGAGAAATACATTACAGTGCTTTTAGACTCTTGCAATGAATCTCTCTTTTACTTTATAATCGTGTTCTGTAAAACAGGCTGGACCAACTCTGGCCCAGAAAGGCGCATGTGTCTGTAGGTTTTCAATTCAACTGAAATGGATTAAGTGGATAAACTTACCACCTTCTAGATCCAATGACATCAATACAAACCCAGATTGGGAAAACAAGAACGGAGAGGCCTGGCCCAGTTTACCATCTTCCTGTTTGACCTTCCAAGTTATTTTATTGGGGAGAGTCTGGAAATCGGGCAAGAGTGGAAAAAGTGTAACGTAGACTGCCCATTGGGTAATGTGCCATTTAAGAAGACAAGACTTTTAACCCAGGTAATGGAATGTGCAATATCTATCAGTCAGGACCAGTGCCTCACTTTCAAGTTAAGATAAATACACTTACAGTCTGACATGCAAATCTTTAGTTCTGCTGTGTAAATATAGACAATGGTGAGATTATACACAGAGGTCTCCAATGTCATTCATTCACTGTATGAACAGTCTTGCATGGAATTTCTTACTATAACAACACCAAGAAGAGAGATATGTCAGGTGTGTAATTTAATCTTGACATTATTGTATGTAACGTATTTAAAGTGAAGCAACCCATTTATTTGATAGCAAAGAATGATTCTAGTCATACTGGAGCTACAGTAGATGGGCCTGACACTGGTGAACAGTAAAAACTAAAATTTTAATGCATATTTTAAAATGGATTTCTAAGACAATAACCTCGCTTTGAATAATTAAAACAATATAAATAACAACGTTTCGGCCGTGCAGCCTGAAGAAGGCTCACACCTGAAGAAGGCCCCACGGACTTAATGTTGCGTTTT